GTGTGCCTTGGCAGCTCCCTCTGCAATTTTATAGCACGCTCTCACATCTCTATAGATCAGGGACAATTCTTCACAAAGCTTTGTTTCCCTTATCTCCAGTTTCCATGAGCCTGTCGAGGTTTAGTAAACAAGAGAAGGTCAAATTATCAACTTTGACTGGAGCAGGCAGATACCTGAAGGAATAGGCTGAAAAAGGGTCCGACTCACACCAGATGTACACTGTTTGTGAAAAGCGGTATCAAATCTTTTCTTTGCAGAACAAACTATACTGAAATGCAGATTTTTTCAGAGCACAGAACAATTGACAGATAATTAATCTGTAGCAATTTTGATGATCAGTAGTAGTTAGAGCAGAGTTCCCGTTAGCCGGTAATTACCGGACTATGACCGGTAAAATATGCTGAAGACGGGCAAATCTAAATCTCTCCGGTCAAAGTGACGGACAAAATAATTTCCCCTTAGCGCAATACCGCATCAGTTGCGCCACTTATGTGACAGACAAAAGAGTATGTGACAGACAATAATAGTCAATTCTAATGTCTAACACGTAATGTGGAGAAAGAGATGTCCTGTATGGGTTGATTGTGCGTTGATCTGTTGGTAATGCCTCGGGGTTCCGGTGGGCATGTAAACAAATGCATAATGCTGCGTTATACTTTGTGGCCTCACCCAGTTGCATAGCGACGCTTATTGTTTAGGTGTCTTTTAATAAACAGGTAGTCCTATCATTAGCTAGAACTAGCTGGATCTGATCGAAATGGACATAAACGCGAGTGAAGTCTAATCTGACGGGAGAGAGATCAGCTGCTGCTGACGAGTCGACACGCAGCTCTGCATGATCACATGCAGCGGTGAGCAGAACAAAACACACACACTTCAGGTTAGAACATCATACGTAGCTATTTTAATAACCTCTCAAACTACCGTAACTAGTTATAGATATGTTTAGTTTTACTGTCGGGTCACTCATTACTGATCTGCGAGCTGCATGATACTGACGGGCTGTCAGGAGGAGAGAGCGCTCCGTTTATTATTCCTGTGTTATTGTAAGTTACTGTACACTTTTGAAAAATGTAGTTAATCTACTATAATTAGTTTGTTTAATATCGAATCATATCAATTTGTTTTAAAGCTCAATAAATAACAAAGAAGACCTTTGACCGGCACTTTTCAAATGTTGTCCGGAAGATTTCAACTTTAACGGACATGTTGACCGGCGAAAAAATATTCTAACGGGAACTCTGGGCTTGAGTAATATTTGTAAGTAACAATGGCAAAAACAAAATCAATATTTGTATAGGATTTCTAATTCTTCTTATACTATTATAGTAAATTGAATATGCTTGGGCTTTGGAATGTTGTACAAAACAATAAATGTTAGTTTAAGGCCCTTATCATTTGTATTAAGTGGCTGCGGCAGTGAAACAATACACACACAAAAATACACCATAAAAAGGTGAAACTTGTTTTGGAGAACAGTCAACAAACCTTATATTGTACTTTAAATCTATTGCATTATTATTATGATTCAGAAACGGGTTTATTGCCAGGTAGTTTCACAAGTACGAGGAATTTGACTTGATGTCGTGGTGCATACATAAAATATAAAACTTTATACATGTTTTTAACTAGGAAGATTATAATGCTTCCTAACAGGGGAGGATATTGCCTAATAATTATCTCATCTCTTGCAGTTACGAGTTCATGAGGAAGAACCTGATATTCTATCCTAACTGGCAAAGTCTCAGCAGCATCTACTCATTTAAAAAAAATTACTACTACGAATACTACTAGTTTGGGTCAGTTGTTAAGTCTATGTAAACTTTGAACAAAGAAAAGCAGAATATTTCATGATGAGGAACTATTATCAAAAGTAGTAAATAATTGCAAATAAAATACTGCAAGTGCAACATAATCTGTTATTATATAAATATGTCCCATGGCTTGTTTCTGGATATAAAGGTGGAGTGATTACCTTTGTTGCTGTCTGTTGTGCCATCTTTGGTTTTTCTGTTTTGATTGTGCGACTTTTCAATTTCCTACATCAGAAATTGGAATAGATAAACAATCACTCAAAGCCAAGAAAATCAATAGTAAAACGTTACAGAAAATGTGGTTTCTTAAAAGCTACAATCAACACTTGTTCTTTGTTGTGTGTTCTGTTAAGAGCCACTGTTCTTTTGGTAGAAAAGACAGTGACTCCTGGTTGTATGTCAGCAGACTCACATTGATGCGGTGGAAGTTGACACTCCAGTTGGCTCCAGCCCGGGAGGGAATGAAGCGATCGCCATGCTTGCTGGGGGAGGACAGGGGGGAGCTGGTGGGTGTCAGAGCTCGCACTGCTCCTACTGCTTTCTACACAAGATGGGAGAGGAGAAAGCATTTTCTGACTGGAGGCCAAACAACACAGGCCTTTGACTGTAATGGGAACACTTTGCAACAAAGCAGGCAGATCATCGCGCTGGCAGATGGGGCATTTGTCTGAGGTGTTAACAACAGGAGGCATCATTCACAAAACCCAGTCATTTGGCCGGGGAGGTCTTGTTTTCACTCAACACTCGTGACATCGTCAAAAGAAAGAGACTGGGCTGTTAAACAGTTTATTCTTCCGACACATGGAGGGTAACAACCTCTCCGCCCCCATCTTAAAGGTCCCATGTCATGCTTTTCCGGTTATTACCCGTCCCCTTGTGTGTTATGAAGGTTTTTATGCATGTAAACGGTCTGCAGAGTCAAAACCCTCAAAGTACACCCTGCAGCGAGTAAAACTCTAACACAGAAAATACCTCCCCAAAACGCCTTGTTGGAGATACGTCACTGTCCATTGATTCTTCCGGGTACCGCATGATGTCATGTGTTACCCGGAACCAAATGGACCAATCCGTTGAGCCGTTACGTTACGTCCGCAGAGCCGTTACGTTAAGCCCCCCCTGATTGGTCCAAATTGACCAATCCACGGACTTCCTCACACACACACACTCAGTGCATGCAGCTCTGCTGATCTCTCCTCCCTGGCTGCAGGCTGATAACAGACAGTTGGGATCGCGGCGAAATTCTCTCTGCAGACCCATTCTCACAGCGTTTATCAACCTTTTTCTTACTCAATATCAAGCCACACTTATTAGACCCTCCAGAAAAACACGATTCTGCGATAGCAGAATTTACCGCATAATCAGCAAAATGGCGCAGATTTTTAAAAGGCCGCATATTTATCAAAAGGCCGCATAATCCCCGCATTTTTCCACACAAAGTTGAGAAGAAAAGTGAAAACCCTGCATGTTTAATCGCATAATCAAGGATTTTAGCCCGCATAATCAAGGATTTTAGTCCGCATAATCAAGGATCTTTGCCCGCGTTTTTCTGGAGGGTCTAACTTATTGTTTTTACTTCGGCTGTGACTTTGTGTGTGCTCAGGATGAGTTTGGCTGTGTTTTGCTGTGTATCGCTAAACAAGCAAACCACACCTCCACGGAGCTCAGCGCGATTCACAACGTCCCAACCAATCAGAGCACACTGTGCTCACAGGGAGGGTGGGGGCTGGAGCTATTGGAGCTACAACGAGCCGTTAANCCCCCCCCCACTCATTTCTAACCACTAACACTCAGCCGTGACAAACAATCCTCTCCCTCGCTACGTATTCGAGTGGTAATTATTAAAAGTATTCCAGGTTGTGATCCTGTATTATGTGAAGGAGGGCCCCCCAGTGAGGAGGGGGGGGGGCGATGTGTTTACAAAGCACATGGTATAGCACAAGCAAAACGAATTTTAGTGCAATCTTATCTGCCAAATGCTGAGAAGAAGGAATTTGTGGCGGGAAAATCAGGGAAAGAATAGAGGAGGGGTACGAAACATACGCACTCTTTAAGAGGGAGCAATGACGTTTTGATCGTTTGGCTTTTTGATCGTTTTAACCAACTTTAGATTAGAGAATCAGCTCCTAAATCTTCTTTTTGTAATAAACGCTGCTATGTTTTTATTATTTATTGTTAAAGAATACAGGTTAGCCATCAGCCAAACACTGTTAGCTCTTGATTTGACTCTAAATTGTTCATAATATGTTCATATAAATGAATTTACAGTAAGAAAGACAAGGAATACAATTAATATAAAGAGAGAAAAATAATAAAATAAATAAAAATAATTCAGAATCAGGTTTATTGCCGGGTACGTTTACACTCTCGTTAATCGCTGAAATGTAATCAAATTTGGAGTTCCTTAAACATTTAAAACACAGACTTGTTTATTTACACAAACCTCAAACTGCATCGGAAAACATTAATAATTTAGGTGCCATCTCCAGATCTTGCGTATTAAATTTTGGTTGCCGGGCAACGAGTCTGTTTACAATATAGTTTGTTTTTTACGGCTTGTTTATTGTGTGTTTACGTCCTAATGTATACATTTTAAACAGGCAGTCCACAAGGACCAAGATGTCTTTTTCAAGACTTGTGCACAGGAAATCAAATAATATATAATATTAGGGAAAAAGTCGAATTAAAAATCTTGAGAGAATGTACCTTTTTGTAACTCATTCCCATTGTGATTAGCATTGTATTGAACACCCAGTGATCGAATTGTATAATAACATGACATGCACAATATAGAAATATCCACAAAGAGAAATATGGGATAACGTTTATCTTGTTTTATTTCTGGTAAAGCGATTAAAAAGCCAATCTCTCATAAAGTCAGTGTGATCCCTAAAACCTTAATCATTGTGACATACAGTACAGTAGTTCCCTTATTGTGCAATAGCTGAAAAGTTCACAATGTTTTTGGGGAAACCAGCGCCACCAGCTTTTGTTGAATCTCATTCATCTTCCATATCACAGCATTGAACAACAAAGCGAGCGAGTTTACGCCATTGGTATTATTTTTTTACCACTCATGACATTTCAGGCAGTGACAGTGTGCTGTAGGTATTGGTCTTTATATATAAACGCTTCCACACGTTAACCACACGCCGGAGTCGCCCTCACAAAGCTTTGTCATCCTGAGCCGGGGTCAAAGGTCACGCCTTCATACGACCCCCGCTCACTTTGTGAACGCAGACTATAAATACTAAGTGTAAGAGACTTGCAACAGTAATATATTATCTATTCTCTTTTCAGTATAGGTTTGGCTAATCCTCCGTATGAGCTGATTGGACTGTAGTGTTTTTATATAACGTGGTTTTTCGTTTGAAAATGTGCTGCAGTGAGTTGTTCACTTTGGTTTCTTTTTTTGGGGTTTTTTCTACTCCAGGCTGTAGTCGAGGTACACGAAAAAACTATTAAACGCAAATCAGAAAAGCATTTCCTACCGGATACTGCTTTTAATCTATTCTCGAGCCTTAAAATCCCTAAAAAAAAAACAGGATTAAAACATCATTTTATGCTAGATTTGTGCACTTCTTAATACTACATTCTTTTAAATGTTCCTATCCAGAAGTGATAGATTTATTAATGTATTGTTTGGCAATTAAGCATTTGGGGTTTTCTTGAACCATGAGACACAATTGCCTCTTTATAAATATCCTACTGTTTCTATTTATATAATTTAAGATATAGTTTCTATTTGTCCTTTTATGATAATCTGGGCAATTGTGAGAAGCAAGTCCTTCTAAAAAGCTTAATTATACATAAATATAAGCACTTAAACTCAAAAACAGCTAAATAACTACAGTAAAATGTGTAGTTACTTCCTGCCTCACATTGAAAGATATTGGCAGGGAAATTGCTGTTAAAAGTTTGGCACAATTTTAACCTGAAACGATGGATATCTTTTGACCTTTAAGGCACCAAATAGAAAAGTAGCTAAACCAATCAGAGGTGTCCAACATGAATCCAGACACTGTTTTGGCAGCATATGGTCGGTGGGATCGAGGCTTTTTTCCGGGTTTGATTTAGTAAAGAAGTTAATATTTGTTGTTGTGTATATAAATACATGCTCGTTACAGAACGGCTCGCTGTCGAAGAACTCAAACTGGCTTAAAAACTGGACATTTGATGGACGTGTTGTTGATGGTGGTTCTCCCTGATTGTTTGGTCAAGTATTTATGGGTATTATTATTCAAGCGTAAAAGCACATGGGCCAAATTGACCCAAGATGTGAAGCAAGAGTCATGGATACAACTTCCTCTCCCCGAGCAATGAAGCACTTATTGGTCTCTTTATATCCTTAAAATAAAAAGCTATGACTGAAAAACCTCTCTACGCCACAGAGCGTATTTAATTGGAAATACCTGCCAACCAAATCAGTCTAAACTTTGCCCGAGTTTTTAAATCAACCTCTCGTATCTATGGCTACTGGCTTGTGGGAATACTTCATTATGTGTTGAAAATGTGAGAAATGAAATCATGTTGAATAGACCTTTTGGCGAAGCAGCCTGGAAAGTAAAAAAAAAATCCATTTGGGGTAATATAACATAGACAATGGAACTAAATAAAACTGTGTATTGCACACTAAAACCAACTGTAAGCAAGTATGCATGTAACTATAGACAATAAATGGTGAACACAACTGTTATCCTGTCTTTTTTCAACAATTAATGACATTTCTTTGTTTTGATTTTGTATTTTAGGGTTGATTTGCCATACAAATGAATTATGTATTTTCTCGCTAGTGTTGAACAATCATCGTTGTAATCCACACAAACTGTGATGGCAATAATATACAACAAAGGTTTTGAAACTACGCACAAATGTGGACATAGTTGAGATGATTTTCTTTCAAATGTATTGCGATACTGAGCATTTGAATGAGAAGCAAAATTACCGTTTTGGTGACTATCAGTCGCAGTTGTTAAAAGAAAATACTAGGGATTATATATTTGTCACAACTTGAATAAAAAAAAAAAAAAAAAAAAAAAAAAAAAAAAAAAAAAGGCCAACACATTATCATTGTACACATACAGTGTGCCAAGTAACAGTGATCAGCAAACCTGCATAGTTTAAATTAACACGGTCCCTATAAATAGATAATACAAGTCCTAAGTGGTAATTACAGTCAAACATGCACATATTTAGCTGCTTAGGATCAACCTAATACAACATAACATAACATTATTTTAATATAGTCATTGTGAGTGTTGGTAGGTTGATGTACACACACCTCGCATCTCTTAGTTTTATTAACCTGTCATGTCCGTCTGTAATCAAATATAACGTTGGCAGAGTAGAGTTGCATTTTATGTAAATAAGACATTAGTGAAATCAAACACGTCAGCCAAGCAGAATATATGTACATACAACAGCTTGAGTTAATGCTTGTTTATTGTTCAGGATTTATGATATCCCCCATCAGTAAATCTTCATCTGTCTGTTGCAGAAATGTACGCTTCGAGGAAAATCAGAGAGGTGAGATAGAAAACAACCAACATGGATCATTTTTGACTGTGTTCACATCCCTATACATATTTTCTTCTAAGCTATACATGTTGTTTTTTGACAGGAAATGGCTCCATTTCCACAACAACCAAGATCAGAACCCAAGATTTTACCAAGGGAACCCAGCGTCACCAGAACAAGTGAGTCATTTCCATCGAACTCCTTAACCTCCATCAGATTTCAGTGTTTTCTTTTCTCGATTTCAATAACATCACCCAATCCTTTTCCTTCATTTCCTTCAGCATCTTTACACAAACCCTTGTCCGTCCAAAACTTGACACATATTGAAGCCCCCTGGGAGAATGTCACCCTCAACCGCTGTCTGTTTGTGGTCATTTCCATCCTGGTGCTCACCTCTGGCTTTCATAGGCTTCATGGCAAGTAAACTGGAAGTAGCACCACAGTAACAACATGACATGCCTGCTGTGACTGAGTGGTCTCTTTTGAAAAAACAGAAACTCTACGTGGTAAGAGGACAGCAGAGGAGGAAGAGGAAGAAGTTGGTGTGATAGTGAGACGTTCAGGCTCATTACGACATAGAGGACAGCCACCCGAGGTAAAGACAGGATTCACCTATGTGACAAGTTTATCATCCAACCTCAAAATAAACAGCTGTCTTGTCTGTCTTGTCTTGCTGTATTGTGTCAACCACTTGCGTTTCCCTACCCTCTAGCCCGAGACAACTCTTTGGGAAGTCATGTTTTGGTGGCTGCCAGACCTAGACGATGAAGAGGATGAGGAGGAAGATGAAGACGATGATGGACTTGTCAAAAAAGGAAAGTCAAAGAAAGGAACATCAAGAGGTCTTAGAAACAAGCCACTGCCAGACAAAAAACTCATGAAGCCAAAAGAAGGGAAATTAAAGGACAGGAGAGCTAAGAAAGACAGGGTCGAAGAAATAAAAGATATGAAGACAATAGATGAAAAGGAGGAACCTGAAAAAACAGCAGATGAGGAAGATGAGGAGGAAGAAAATGAGGAGGTAAAGGCTGAGAAGACTAAAAAGCTGCAGGAAAAGAAGAAAAAGACTCAAAAAGGATGAGTTCATTTTCTACTCTTCCAATTTCCTCTTTTAAATATGCTTCTACTTACTCATAAGTATTGCTTCCAGATAAATGACTTCAATGTCAATATGGTAGATTTTGGCTGCTTTGCTAGACAGATGTGATTTTGTGTAGTGACATTTTTGTTTTATTCAAATTTCTGACTGCTTTATTTAAACCTGTGATCGTTTTGAGGCCTTTAGAGGTGAAAAATCTACATCTTTATTAAATTGCTTATCAATCGCACCAGCTCAGTTTACTGTCAATACAATTAAAATAAAAGTTTACCCACAAGGCTTGTTATTTCATCAAGAGCTGCTTCAAAAATATTTGTTCCCCGTAAAGTCAAGCTTCTTTCCTTATCAGCCTCTTCATGCCTTAATATGTCTGCACTGCTTCTATTTTCATGTGCTATAATCCATTCGCACATTCCCGGGACAGGTCAATTAACCTTAGTGTGTTAGTGTGTGCGTTATGTCTTTGGAAAAACACAGATTCCAATGCAAATGTTTTTTCACCAAAGAATTTAATTACAAAAAACAGAATGTTCAAAGGTGAGCTATTCTCAATCATAGCTCCACGTCCAGAAAGTGAGCATTTATACAAAACAGTGGGGTCATACGGGCTGCCCTACACATTTACATAAATCAAACAAATGTATAAAAATCGACTAGATGTAGACTTTCAACGTCATTGAAAGCAATCACGATCTGCTGGTAGGGAATCAATTATTAGACATGAGGCTCTCAGGAGGAGGCGGCCTCATTGGCATGGGGGGCATGGGCATCTGATGGGGCATATGGGGGTTACCGGGGGCACCAGGTGGGAGAGGGGGCATCCCTCCTGGCGGGGGAGGGGGCATATTATCGTTTGGCTGGCGATGTCCACTCATGAGAGGAGGAGGACGCTTCACACCAACAGGAGGTGGGGGTCCGCTGGACTGGGAAATAGCTTTCTCCATTTTGAAGTGGAACTGTAGGAAGAACTGGGAGGAAAAATAACACAGACAGGTTAAACACATATTTTCTCATTCCTGAAATAAAACATAGTGGTAATAAATGTTAAACAGCTTCAGTACCTGTTTAGTTTCTCTGTTCCAGTGGGTCCAGAAGCGGTTTTCTGCTTTATCAATTTCTCTACTCGGGACCTGAAAGAGCAAAGATCGTGTTGTTATGTCTAAGAAAAAAACTACAGAGGAAAATTAAAGTGCAGTTAAAGCTCACCTTAAATGCAATGGTCTCGTAGGGTTCAGCAGCCAGAAGCAGGTACTGCCAACGGCGATCAGGGGGCTCGATGCGCTGCTCGTAAGCAGACATAAAACGATGCCTGGGTCCGATTCCTTCAGCGATCTCTGGGTAGTCAATCTGATGAACAGAGGAGTAAAAAACAGGTAACTTACAGACTTGTTTTTGAAAGTAAATAATCAGCCAGTGAAAAAAATGTGTTTAAACACAGGGCGATGTCTTAATTTGGTCAACAGGACCAAATTTGTCTGCTCGTCTGTTTTTAGGTTTGAACCAGACTGTATACGATAACAGGCCAAATACATCCACAATATCTGTCCTACTGTACCAGAGAGTTCTTTCAGATTGAGAAAATGTTCGTTTAAAAGAAGTACAGTATGTAGCCAGCCTTGGGAGAGAGAATCAAAAACCTAGAAAATATCTATTTACGGCTATTTCATCAGAAGTAGGATGTAAGCCAATGCATTTCCTGTAACTTTCTTATAAGCCAACTTTTGTTTTTCCAGTACAAGTCATTTTGATGTGAGGCTGCAGCAGTAGGAAGTGTTTGGTTTGCATTAAGGACCTGATACAGCAATGTTTCCAGGTAAGTAGCCACAGACTAGACTTGGTAAAAGAGGAAATAAATAAATATTGCAATATCTGTGGGCCATAGGCTAATTCACCAATGTGTAACCGCATTAGGTGACAAATAATAACTTAATATTAACTCGTTTTTTTTATTCCATCCAAAAGACACTAACCTGGAAAAGTAGGGACTGCTGTCCGGTCTCCGAGTCCCTCTGTTTGGTTACTATAAAGAAAAGAAAGACATTGATTGGATAATAAAATGTAATACATTTGCAGGTAAACCCTGGTCAGTACAAGACAAAATAATCACTGCACTGACTCATAACAACTCAGCTCGCTTACCTTTGTATCCCGGTCGACCAATTTTGACAAACTTCTTGACCTCAACTTTCACTTTGGCAGGAGCTGGCTGGGCAGGAGCTTCTTTTGCCTCTTTGGCTGCTCTCCGGGCCCTGAAACAAAGAAAATATATAATTTTTTAACTGTAGAAAAATGATGTGGGTTGTTGCGTGAATTGTTGCGGTACAATTAATTGGTCACCAAGAACGCTAAACAAATGGCGTGTTGCACTTACAAGTTGGTCTGATGTTTCTTTCCTTGTGTGTGAGCCAAGTAGCTGCCCTGTAAAGTAGAGAAGAGCGATTTGTCAAACAGGATACTCCGATAACAGGAAATGCATTATTAAGTTAGGGTAACTTCTAGCACCATACAGGAAAGTATCATTGTCTGCCTCCTCACCTCATTGTTATGAAGAGTCAAGCAAAGTTTGCACTCGTATGACCCTAAATGATTTTTCATAAAGTAGGGGTCTTTATTGATGTCAATAGTCTCCAGGGCCAGCTGGCGTAACCGCTCTCGTCTGTCCCGGTTACTTTCAGAGGAGGAGGCCACCCCACCGCTCCCCGTCTTCCCTCCAGCTCGATGCTGGAAATCCATCTTTGCAAGGTAATGGGCTCAATCACTCAGAAACCCACAGGCGTTGCCCAGCTGACACTGGACAGGCACTCAGAGAAGATGTTGCTGATTATCTGAAGAAAGATAAAGCAAACAATGTCAGTGAAACTATAAATATAGAATAGTGTTAACTGTTATTACCGTACCATGTGTTACTGGATTGTAGTGTAAAACAGTGCCATGTATGGAGTTATCACTTAGGAGTAAGCAATACAAGACTACTGACTTGGCTCTATGATATATACTGTATTAAGTGCATTGCTCTAGTCTAGATACTAGTTCAGGTCTCCTTTGCATGTAAACGGTTTGAGGAGTACTGCAGTAAGTTCCCCCACAATTTCAAAAGGAATGTTGTAAACAAACACTTCCGGAACCAAGACTTTCTAGAACTAGTTTGGTACACATTTCATGTAGTTAAAAAACAATACAATGACTGGCTGCGCTACTTTATGCTAACTTCCCTTGTAAGTGATCGGTCTTACTAATGGGCAACAACACACTTATTTAGACAAATATTCGTTATTGACCAGATAAAATACATAGCAGAAAAGAGGGGAATTTTTTTTATCATGCTAGAAAACAAATGACAAAAACTACGAACTGTAGTTAGCTGCAGTTTGTTATAATATGGTAGCGCTCGCACGACAATGCTAAGCTAACAGCTATTCATTGAGAGATTTCAACACATTTCAACATATGATCGAAGACCCCCCCACCTAAAAAGGAGCTATCTCTGTATATGTATTTATACATTGATAATTTATATGTAAAACTAAAGAATACACATGTAAAGGATAGTGTAAACAGTTTACTTTGTTCAAAACACTCACCGACAGCACAACGTAAGGATCATGCCCCTGTAAATCAGCATTGCGCATGCTCAGGTGGTTTCCCTCTTCACCGGTTGGAAAACAACTTCAGGTGCATTACTGCCCCCTGCTGTTCTGGAGTATTCCTACATGTGGCACATTTCAGAATCATCTTTATATCTGCAAAGTAACTATAGCTGGCAAATAAAACGTGTTGAAGTAAAACTTAAATGTGCTTTTTCTCTGAAATGTATTGGATTAGCACACTATGAAAATACTCAAATACAAGTACCTCAAACTTGTTATTGAGTGTACTGGTGATACTGGTGTAAATGTACTGAAGAAATCTTTCACCAGAGAAAAGTACATCCCATACTACCATGTCACCAGTGGTGTAAAGTAACTAAGTACACTTAATTGAGTATTGTACTCAAGTACAATTTTTAGGGACTTCTATTTTACTTGAGCAACTCAATTATTTGCTACTTTGTACTTCTACCCCACTTCAATTTAAAGGTAAAAAGTTTACTTTTACTAAGCTTTATTTATACCTTTAGTTACTTTGCAGATTTTGATTAATGGTGTTAAATATACTCAACATTTAGAAAATACTTGAGTCACACCTGGAGTAAATCACAAGCTACCTTGCACTATAAAGTAATTAACATTAGCTGCACATTTACCAGCTTTGACACATTAATACATAAATAATTACAATCAAACTATATAATATGATTCTGTAAATTGTCCGATCTGCAAATGACTAGGCCCTACTTTTACTTTTGGTAGGCTACTTTAAGTATATTTGTTGATGCTTCTGTATTTGTACTTGAGTATTATTTTGAATGCAGGACTTTCACTTACTATACTCGTTAAAGTATTCCTACTATCTGAAAATTCTACTTAACTTAATTAAAGTTATGAGTAATTCTTAGTTCTTCCACATCTGCATGTCACTACAAGTTGTAATTTACATGGCTTGTAAACGCACTGTTTACCTAGTTGGTTCCTCACCGACTTCCGTACTATTACCAGTGAGGCGTTTCTGGCTGCCACCGAGTGTCCGGTGTGAAACATGGAGGAGAAGTCCGACTCTTGACCACAGCAATGACAAAACACACACATTCTCATTTCGAGGACAGAAGATTGCGAGGCAGTATCATTTAACGGACGCCTCAGACAACGCTGCCTCGACTTATTTGGTATTTTATCTCGCTCCCTTGCTGGGCTGTCGGTGGGCATGGCTCGGTCGTAGCGAAAGTCTCCTCTTCTTTAACCCGTGTTTTACTGCGTCAGTGGCCGTGATGCGTTTCAACGAGAAGGAGCTGGTGTCTCTGAGCCGACAGCCCTCAGAGATGGCAGCCGAGCTGGGGATGCGAGGACCCAAGAAAGGAGACGGTAACACGGTTTATTACACACCGATTCAGCTCCTTTCAAACCTACTTCCGTTTTATTTAATCTGCACAGCAGGCTGTTCATGTTAGCATAATGGCCTGAAAACATTAAGATCAGCAACCACCAGGGATATGTTTTGGTCGTGTCATTCATCAGCTGTCAATCCTTTTTTTGTAATACAGTTGTAAAGAAGAGGCTGGTGAAACTCGTCGTGAACTTCCTCTTCTACTTTCGGACTGATGAGGAAGAGGTCAGTAGCACACTGCATTCAACATGCATCACATGTTTTACCTGCTCTACCTAGTGACTAATGTGAAACCATTATTTGTTGTCAGCCAATTGGAGCTTTGCTGCTGGAGCAGTGTCGGGTGGAAAGGGAGGACAGCCAGAGCTTCTCTATTGGTGAGTTTCCCCTTCTACATTCACATGATTCGCCTTTCCTTTCACTTTCTCGCTTTGTTGACTTTCAAATCCAGTCTAATACCTAGGTTTTAGAAATGGATAAACACTTTTCTTCAAAGCACATAAGCATGTTGTTTCAAAAAATATTTTACTAAGATTTTACTTTAGAAATAAGTATTTTTTTCATTTTTTAGTGTTTTTGACCTGTCATCGATTATGGCCAGGTGTTGTACATTTGTGCCTGACTGCTCATCGTCATAATTAATGTGTAAAATGCGGCTCTACATTTAATTACAAAATGTGGATCTCTTACTCGTTTTTATATTCAAAAGTGAATTGGCCTGATTCTTAATATATCAGTTTTTATGTAAAATGTCCAAACTGTCTTGCTGCAAAACATTTGGCCAGGTCTCTATTGTTTAAGATATATTTGATCTCAGTCGCACAAACCTGGTGTAATAAAGTCTAAATTAAAATTAAAAAGTCGGTGGAAATGAGCAGGCCGGTTTTTTATTCCGTATTAACACTGCTTTGTAGATGTCACTGATCAGGAATAAAGACATGTATCAACCATAGACTGTATCAACGTCCATTCCTTAAGACTTAATACTTTGTTGCAGTTTGAGTATTTGTATTATCTATTCGTGACTCCTTTTATGTGTTTCTCTTTGTAGCATTTCTGGATGAAGCAGAGAGAAAATATCTTTTTGAGTGTGACTCAGAAGAACAGTGTGGGGAGTGGGTCGACTCCATCGTGAAGGCCAGGTGGGTCTGACTCCTTCTCCTCTTATTACAGACACAACAGACCACAACACCATGAAATACACATGTTGGTCGGCCTGGCAGCGCCTGACAGAAAATGAATATATTACATTTTTGATTGAAGTAAAATATGAATATGTTTTTGGGGGGTTTAAGGCATCACCTTAGGCTCTGATGACTTGTCAATTGTCAGCGTTTTGAATTTAGATTTTTTTTTTAAAGACAGAATCATGTTTTAAGGAAAAAAATATGAAATCCAAATGATGATGATAACTACAACACTATGGTGACATGAATTAACATTGTAGCTACAGTTTTCTCTACATCTGAAAATGGAAAAATGTTCAGCTTGGCAGACCGCAATGTGCTGTGTGATGCTATTTGAACGCCTTTAGTCATAAACACACACTTGGGTTGAATGTGTTTTACTAGGAATAGGATCATGCTCCCTAACAGGGGAAGATTTTGCCTAATACATTTGTCATCTCATCTCTTACAGTTACGAGTTCATGAGGAAGAACCTGATATTCTATCGAACTGAAATCCACAGGCTAACTGGCAAGGTAAGAGCCGTCTCAGCAGCATCTTGAAGCGTTAAATGCCACACAGATGGCACTTATATCCAACAGTGTCGTAGTAGAAAGGATTTAAGTATGAAGTATATTTGCGCAATACTTGCCTCGTTAAACGAGAATCATTTAAATCCCGGCTGCATTTAAAATGTGAAAAATGTGTGTGTGAAAATGTTTTACAAATTAGCTTTTGCTGATTTTTTTTATTTTTTATGGTCAAATTAATTAAAATGTACATCTCTGTATTTATTGTTACATTTTGTCTGAAAAAGTTAGAAGAGCAATGTTAAAGCCTGATGATTCCTTACACCAAAAATAATAACCCCAGTCACCTTCAAACAGTGAGGCGTACTGTACATACGGCTCGTTGATTAACCATTAAGATATTTGTATCGTGACTGAAAGTCGGATCAGGGCATCGGAAAAATGTAATACTTTAGAAAAAAACTAAAAAGCAATATGACTTTTTAGAAACAAGTTATGTGTCAATCAGGATGATCTGGAGACATTGAAAATAGTTTATAGCAAAGTTTGTCCTAAAAACATGGTAGTTTTGCTTCGCAAATGTAGTTTGTTGGTGCAGTTAAGACTGAGCCACTAAATAAAGTCAACTGAACTACACTGTATCCTGTTGGAGGCTTACACTAACAATTACAAGAAATCTCTAAACGATTATTTTTACTGTCTTACTCTTAACCTTTATATATATACAGTCTATGGACTTAACTCACATTCTCCTTTCTCACAGGATCCCTTGGAGCAGTACGGTATATCAGATGAAACTCGCTTCCAGGTCAACAATGGACTGCAACTCACGCCTAGAGATACCTGTTCCCTGTAAACCATCAACCTGTCCATATGTACTTTATTTTAAATTTCAGTCTGCCCTTCCATTCCAACTTGTACTACTCACTGGCTTGAAGAACATGGTATTACCATAAGCTCAGATGCTTTTTAGATCTTCACTGCAATGAATGTTTTAAGTAGTGGCCTAGACTTACAGCAACGTCCTTATGTGCAGATGTTATAGCAGAATATCTGAGGCCATTTAAAGTAATGAAGTGATAATGCTGATTATTTCTTTTATATCAATCATTACAGGTAGCGGGGCTGCAGAGAATTTGACACTGTCTTATCTATGGTTTATGGGATTTTACATGCATATTTTTGTATCATTTTTTGAATTTTCCTTGGTTTATTTGTTAGCTATAAAAAAAAACATATTTTATACTGTGTTTTCTACTAGACATACTTTCAGATAATGTGATTTTGAGTGTCTAATTTTACATGTGCTGTACATTTCTTTCAGGAGTGTTCCGATGAGCACCGCTGGGATTTAAAATAATTGAACCAGACCTTTAGAATAATGTTAATCAACCTAATATACGCTGTTTGAAGAAGCTTATGATTATAAGATACAGTGCCCAATTGAGAAAACCTTCTGCAGTATTGCCTGAGTAATTTCAGCTGCAAGGGCCTTTGATCTGCTGAGTTGAGCCAACCATTTGACTATTTTTTATCAGATAAATGGTTTAGCTATCCCTAATTGTATTTGTCTTCTAGCCTTTTTAGACTACCAGTAATTAGTTAAAAAAACTATACTTTTGCACATATTACTTTACTGGGTGTTGAGGGTTGTTTTATAATAAGAATTTCAAAAAGTTACTTGAACCTACTGTACTTATTCTTTGAAACTTTGAATCAGATTCCTTTAGATATGCTGTTGGGCCAGACTGCGTGATTTTTCAACATCACAACAACTTTGTCATTGGAGCTACATCAAAGTTTCAGCTAATGATGAGGTGACGTTTGTCTCTCGTCCAAATGTAACTATCTTACAACTTGTATAAAAAATTGTCAGAAGTCTACCCTTAAAGAGGATAATGTCATTGAATGTGTCTTTATTTTAAACCTTTGTACATTGAATGTGTTATGTCTATTTGTACTTCCTTTTCAATTCTTTTTGTTTCACTTGCACCTCTCTTTTTTTTTTAAACTAATAAATCCATTTGAAATATACTATGAATCAATACAGTGTGTCACTGTTAACTAGAAACAATTTGTCAACACCAAAATGTAATAAAAGTGTATTTAATCATGGTCAATCTAACAATAGTATTCAGCAGGTGTCCATAAAGTGAAAATGACAAGTCTCCTTCAAGAAGACACACATATACAGTACCAACACTGTTTCAAATGTAATGAAAAGCACAGGCTTTATCATGAATGTATCACTGCTGGTTTGACAAGACCTGCATATTGTTAAATCAATAAATAGTTAACATGTAGGCCTATTGCTTGAACTTAAAAAGCAATGGATAAAAAGACAATGGATTATGCAAATATATGTTTAGAGCCATGAAGAAATGACTGATAAGGAGCTTTATTATAAATGCGTCTTCTGTTTTTTATTGTTTCTCTTCTGCTGAAGATGTGGTAATGTGACACGTTTCCTTAGCAACGCAAATGTGTGATTCAAAAAATAGCTACGTCACATTTTTTCCCGTGATGCTTAGCGAGGCCAAATTGAACGCTCGGCAAAAGAAAACAATTGTATTTTGCAGGCTCTGTTTTAAAGAGTTAAACACATAAAAACTACACATTTCAACTGGATTTAACACTGCTAAGAAAAACAACTCAACCGCGGGTAACGGGAAGCGTTCATCGGGGCTCGGTAGGTTACAAAAGTGGACTGTGAACGAACAATGTTGCTAATGCATTAGCCGGACAGCTAGCTTAGCGTTTTAACGTTACTTCAGCCAGCTGGGCTAGCATTAGCATAAGTCTGTATGTTTGATCGTTTCATTTACATTGTTTAAATAATATTAGGGTCATGATTACAGATCAGCGTTAACTGCCGTGACTGTGTTTTTTGCGACTCGAAACCAGGAATCAAATACTTCAGTGTTGAAGGTTTTACAGCTAACTAATGGTATATGTTGCTAACGTTAGTGTTCACAAAGATAATGTAAGTGTTATGAGCAGAGGACTGAACCCACCCGCAGCTGTTCACATGCACTGTTACTATAATATGTCTTTAGCTAGTTTAAGAATATTCTAGAATAGATTTTATTAATCGTGTCGATGTATGTTCCATGCCATATCATTATCTCAAGGAATACTCACTCTAGGCTGTTACATGTGTTTTTACAGTATAATCAAGTAAAATGTAATGTCAACTGAATAATTGTTGTTGTTTTTACATATAACCCAATGTAATACTTGACAACAAAGCAGGGACTTCTTTGATTTGTGTGAAACATTTAGCCACATTATTGAAGGACATGGTTCCTCAGAAAAACCTTCCCTGGTCGATTAGTAAATGTATATGAAACTTTCATTGTGTCATGTAAAAACATATAAAGTTACACTACAGATTTGCAATGTATCTACTTATCATCACCATGTTCAATTGAAAATTGCAATAAGAGTGTTTCACGATTTTCTAAAATGCCATAGACTATAAACGAGTCAAAAACGAAATATCTCAAATTGCTCAACAGTCATTTGTGAGTTAAAGAGGCTTATCTGTCAGTGCCAGAAGAACTGAGAAGTAGTAAGGAAGTTACGAGCGACAGTAACTGACCTTTCATCTGACATGTGCATTCAGGAAACTGTTGTATGACTTGTATGTATGAATGTATTGCTGATCATTCTTATCCTCTTCTCAGGCATCATGGACCAGGACTATGAGTGCAGGCTGCTCAGGCAGATCAACATTCAGAATGAGAACGCAAGCCCCATAGTAAGTTAATAATACACACTTGTACATAAGGAGCTGTGTTTCCTCTTGAAAAATGTAAGAAAAAGTATCTAATTTAGCCAAGGCTTAGAGTCTTGACTAGTATCACTAGTGTGATTAGATCAGTATCTTTACTATAGCATGATGGTAGCCCCGCCCAGAGAGGGTTTTTAACCAGCAAAAGACTTAAAGGTCCCATTTCATGGCCATTTCCACTGATCATAATTCCATTGTTGAGGTCTACTAGAATAGATTTATATTGTGCAAGTTTCCAAAATCACTTTGGTTTCTCATACAGCATCTCTGTAAACTACGTCTATTCACTGAATTTCACTCTCTGCCTTTAACGCAGTGGTTCTCAAAGTGGGGGGCGCGCCCCCCCAGGGGGGCGCAGAGGCATGACAGGGGGGGCGCGAGAGACCAGGAGGAAAAATGGTTATAAAAAAAAAAAAACATAAAAAAAAAAAAAAAATGTTTTAAAAATTATTGATTCGAAAATAATATTATACAGTACNGCAAACACATTATCATTGTACACATACAGTGTGCCAAGTAACAGTGATCAGCAAACCTGCATAGTTTAAATTAACACGGTCTGTATTATCTATTTATAGGGACCGTGTTAATTTAAACTATGCAGGTTTGCTGATCACTGTTACTTGGCACACTGTATGTGTACAATGATAATGTGTTTGCCTTTTGTTTTTCGTTTGGCATTTTTGTATTTATTTTTATAGTTATAACTTATTTATTGATGCTGATATTTCGCTTGCCATGTGAATGCATATTTATTGGTTCATCGACATATATAATACTTTTAAGGAGTGCAGTTTTAAGTATTTATTTGATAGGAGTCTAAATTATTATTGTCACTATAAAGAGTGTTTTACTTTGTTTGACCAACGTCTTGGTTAAAGGTTTAATTATTTATCAAATTAGCACTAAAAACAAAGAAAGGGAAGCTGATGAAATATAGAGAAGTTTTGCAGATATTGTATCATCAACCTACGTATTGGAAAATTAAAGCATGGGGCAAATTAAATTGGCCCTACATAAAATCATTAGGATTCTTCCCCTGGGGACCTCAAAAGACTAAATAATTATTTCCGCCTGGACCAAAGTGCTCCAAATAAAAATACATTCTCCCATCCTTTCAGACATGTAAGAGCTCTTCCTCACAAGGAGGACTTTGTGTGTGTGTTTGGAGGGATTGAATCTGATTACACCAACCATCCATTTAGCATGGCTGCATTATCACTGTGTAGCCTGTGACCAGGAGTCATATTTCAGAGGCTCCCTGTTCTGCTGCTCCTAAGTATTTATAGAGTCGAACAATATATGCACAATGGATGAAGGCTTTTATGTGCAGGCATTACAGATATGGTGTGTGTGTGTGTGTGTGTGTGTGTGTGTGTGTGTGTGTGTGTGTGTGTGTGTGTGTGTGTGTGTGTGTGTGTGTGTGTGTGTTTGTGCGTGCGTGCGTGTGCGGTGTGTGTGTGTGTGTGTGTGTGTGTGTGTGTGTGTGTGTGTGTGTGTGTGTGGCCACCTGGTCTGCGGATCTGTCGAACAGGCTTCTGTGGAGGAGGATCTGCTGTTGATGGCCCTAACTCCTCTTCAAATGTCTCATAGCTTTCTTCCATCCCTCGCCTGAGGGAACGAGAGGGCAGAAGATGACGGTGGCTCAAAAGTGATTTGTTTTCTAATTATTCAGCAGATATACAAATGTACATATTAATTACACAAAGCTTTTCGTTTGAACTTGGCTGCCACTTCAATATATGGATTGTTGGTACATTGTTACCATCCCACAACAGTGTGATTCAATGGGGCAAAATGTTGTTACAGCTGTTATTCTTCACTTTGTAAAAGTTATATCCACAGTCTCATTAGCATTTCACATTGGCTGCACAAAATGACAAAGCTAAAAGGTCAACTTCCTTAGTTTATGAAAAAATGTAAGCCGTTTCTTGACCTTCACATTTATAAATGAATGCTGTGAAGCTCTTATGTCTTACATGACATTTCTACATGGACATTGAGCTAATGTCCTAGCAGCCCTATAAATAGATGAAGCGAAGCCACTGGAGAGACAGATGGATACACAGTGCATAGAAATACACAAAGAGAAAAGGGTTGATGTTACCATTTCCCCCCTGGCTAGTCTCTCTCGTGATGAAGCCCAACCTTTGAACCTGAATGAAATAAGGACCTACCTGCCTCGACATTTGGGGTCCCTCCGGGCAGCTTCAGGGAGCCTTTGTCACAGAGCTTGTTGTTCCTCTGCAGAAATGGCAGCAGAGTCACACTCTGAACGGTCTGACAGCTGAGCACAGGTGTCTGGGAATGAAAAAACAAAAAAAGAATTGAGTGTCAGTCAGAGGCGTTGATCGAGGGAGGGTTGACATAAACATGTGCGAGTCAGCTGCCCAAAGAGAAATCTCAGAGGGTAAGAATAGGGCCACACCTAGCCCAAGTCTTAGAAAAAAACGAGACATTTGGGAACAATCTTACAAAACTGTAAGCCTATTTGGTACTGATTCAACAGACAGGAGCAACTGGGCAATGTCTCTATAAATTAGTTGGGACCTTTATATAGACAAGTAATCTCACTGAGACACAGGGTCTCATTCTTGAGAGAAACGAGTTTAAAACCAAAACAGCAATTTAATACACAGAGACTGACAGGACATTCATACAAAGGCAATATAAATATAATATAAAAAAGTCCCAAAGTGAAACAAGAAAAACCCAATAATTGTGAAAGATAAAGCTTTTATTTAAAAATGTATTCCCACTTTCTTGTCTGAAAATGTGGACATAATATATGGACACTCTTTTATATCTTACCAGCAGAGAGCGCCACTGTACTTTTAAAATGGAGCTTCAGCCTGCTTCGCTCCATAAAGGAAGTCTGTAGTCTGTCAGGCTGACTGGCCGTCATGCAGATTAGCAGAAGGCCTGACTGCCTTTGTACTAACTGACCGTCAGCCGCGTCCTCTACATCAAACACTTAAAACACATATTACAATTTTGTCAATCAAATTATAATCCTAATATTGCCTGAGTGCATCTTTATTTCAACCGTGTGTGTGTGTGTGTGTGTGTGTGTGTGTGTGTGTGTGTGTGTGTGTGTGTGTGTGTGTGTGTGTGTGTGTGTGTGTGTGTGACAACCAGCCATGTAAACAGATGTAAAGATGATTGGTTTATATCGGGGTGAGGTGGTTGCAGGCCACCTTTCAGTAGGAGAGAGGAAGTGTTGGTAAACAGACTTGTGGTG